TTTGAAGCGCTCCAAAACCCCAGCACATCCGGCCGCTATTCACTTCGCAGTGAACGGTTTAAGGTTAACCCCTCCATACAGAAAGCATCAACACATGGACGAATGTGGAATTCGCGTTCCGAGTTGATTGTACATAACGAGATTTCATATATGTACGTTCCATCCTTCTCACATTCTTTTTTCTTTTTATATTCATTTACATTGATAGTCCATGAATCCCAGAAAAACAGTGCAAATGCACGCCGCAGGACTGCTACGGAAATCCTCTGAATGACTCCTATCTCTCCGAAAGAAAGACACATATTGGCATCGGGGCCCCCAGAAAGGGGTGGAGCAGGGGCATCGGGGACGATAGCCTTCGCGTACCAGGGGGCCCCAAAGGAGACCTCACTGGGTCTCAAAGGAAGCTTCCAATTTAGTTTTGTCCCAGGCTTGTGGAAACCTCTGGGCGGGCTTCATCGTCATCAAGTGAATTGATAAGGGATAGTTAGTAAACGTGATATCCACGGTTTTAAATAAGACTTGAGTGAGGATTCGAGTTTATTGTATTCTTTTCTTTCAAACATTCTTTCTTCACACATGTTTGCGTTCATGGAAGTGTTCTGCTGAATACATGTTTGCTTAAAGGGGAACTGAACGTGAGCCCAGAAAGGTAACGCAGAGATGAAAGCAGTCATGGCCATCTGGTTTCACCTTCATGGGGAGTGAAACCTTCCAACATTATTCGCCTAGCGAAAAGGCTTGCGCGCTGCTGCACCACACCTTGTCCAGAAAACGTGTAGGCCCAAGTAACACAAGATATTCCAGCAACGTTTAGGAAATGTTGATGAACAATATTGCATCTATGTGTAAATGTCCAAAACGTCAACGTTGCTCGAATGTTGCGAAGGAACATTCAACATTCCAAGTGAAAACATTGAAGCAATGTTTTATCAATGTTGTACAGCAACTTGCAACATAGAGCAACATAGACAACATTTCGAAAACGTTTCATCAATATACTGTGTTACTTGGGGGGGTCCGTTTCGCGGCTTCGACGGATTGCCATTAATTCCAGGATTAATTTTCTCCATGTCAGTTGCAGCAATGATGCAGAAGCGTTTCTACAAATTGAAGGTTTACGGAATCAGAATACACAAGCGTTTCGTGCATGAGGAGAAAAATTCAATTCAGACCTGCTTGCAGTCCCCGTGGATTGTTGCTAGTGCTATACTTGTCCCCTCGATTACTTAAAGTCTTTTTCATGAAGACCACCAGCTCGACGAGATTTTGCTTCGCTTCCAGTTTCCCACGGAACAAATCGTCGATTGTCAGTATTACAACACTTTTGGAGCGGGTCGGAAATACTCCTTCGTGTCTCCTGTAAGAAGTAAAATTATCCCCATTCGGCTAGGAAAAGGGGTGAGAACGAAGTGGACTCATTCCTGGAAGGTATCCTGATACCAAATTCATCGGCGAATTGTTAAATTTGTGTCACATTTAATTTCGTTAAATGACGTCATCGACGTGCAGATGACGAACTTACAAATCAACCTACTGGGAATAATATGTAAATTTCCACCTTGTCGAGTCCAAGACATGATGAGTTGACATTTACCACGGCGGAGATTTCCCTTGTGAACTCATCGCTTCAAAAGTTGCGGCGTTACTCCTTCCTCGGAAGTTCTACGACGATCAAGTGTACTCCTCTTCCGGTGGTGGGAGGCACAACACAGGTTTTCTTTGGGTTGTAAAAGACCGGTTTATTATCTCTCTCTCTCTCCCCCTCTGTACAAAGTTAGGACACAAAGGGGGACGAAGGCTGATTCTGGCGTCACTGGATCTATGGGATGGTGATCCACGTCTCCAGACCGAAATCAAGATTGAGGAGTAAAGGACTCAATGTTAGGTGGCTCAGGCACCAGACGGTGCAAAAGAGAACTAAAAGGCTGTCATGGAAATCAAATAGGAGAGAAGAGCAGAGAAACGGAGACCCTGGAATATCTAATCCCAAATGGAAGGACGACAAGGTTGGCTTTAGCCCGAAGGCACTAGCTTTGGATTGGAACTATATAATCAGCTTCTCAGCCCTTTCTCTCTCTCTCTTGACACGCAGAGGGGAGACCTTCACTCCATCTGTGCGCTCCTTCCCAGGGTCCAGTTCTTCGTTTTATATAATTTTTGCTGACGGGCTTGGAGATCCAAGAATTTAGGGTTGTCTTCCCTGTTTCCCCCCGGCGGACGGGGGTGTGGATAGAAAAGGTAAGGAACTGGGATCGGAAGAGTGGGATTGCAGACTGCTCATAGGTCAAGGTTAAGGGTCCAAAGTTGCGAGTGACGCCTGGCGGCACATGGCAGTATCTAAGCCTCCTTGAGCGACCCACAGAGAGCTGCTTGTCGCGACTCCTCTCGTGCCGTGGTTGCTGCTTCCTGACTGTTTTGTAAAGTGCGCAGTATGGCCTGTCTAGCCATTAGTCATAGTCTGTCTAGACGTCTAGACAGGCTAGACTAGTTCGTCTCTGAGAGGAAACTTGCTTCGGGTTGGAAACAGCGTGCCTGTGTGCGATGGGCATCGCTAAGAAGTACAGAGTTAATGTTAACACATTTGTTGCGTACCTCTAAGTTGTCAGCTAACTCCCCTCTCCAAGTTTTTTTTTAGCGGTAATTAGACAATATAACAATATATCCTAAACATTTTCAAATCACAAATAATATTTTCGCGAAAACCAGGACATTTTCAACATGCCCTCATAATACTACGACTTTATAGTGCGAATAAAACTTTTTTATATTTGAATATTTATGGGCTATTGAGTGTGGACAGCAGTCTATTATTATAGACTTAGAATTATGTTACCTATTCCTTGACGTGCAAGGCCTATATGCCCAAGCCTTTTTAGGCTAATAGACTGGGCAAAAGGGAACGGAAGGATGCGTACCTGGAGGTCGTCTGATGCTAAGAAAGAGGAGTAGGCAATTTCTGAGTCACCTACATATTGGTGACTCCTACGTAATTGTACACTCAAGAACCGTATGTTCACAATGACGGAGAAGTTGAAAGAAAAACATAAAACGAGAAGTGGCGCCTCTAGAAAGTACAGTATTACAAACGGATTTCGGTATAGCGCCTCTTGGTAATGTGATCTATCATATCTATCATATCTATCATATTTCGTTTTCATGTTCCATGATGACGAAATTAGGAGGTGAAGCGTATTTCTTGGAATCTCTTGTCTCTATGAGAAACTTGAAAATTTCCTGTGATATAGAGTTGTTCCAACTCGCTTCCATACGTATGCATACCACTGCGCCGGCGTAATAGAGAGTTCATCCAGAACTCGTTGAGATCGGCTATTATGAATGCTTCAGATAGGCGCTTAAATATCGGTTCCAGGTTTGATGAACTCCCTACTATCGATAACATTAAGGTAACGTGAGGGAGTCCGGAAATGTGTTCAAATGGTGTAATGTTTGTTGGATGAAATCCGCCATCGCGGCGCTGATGAGTTTGAGGTGCCCACGGAGCATCAAGATCATTGTCAGCACTATACAGGCAAAAAGACTCCTATATGCACGGGTTAGCATTCAAGAACTCTTGACGAAGAACCCAAAAACATCCCTCTGAAGTTGCAAAATCTTCAAGAGAACATGTGGAAACAGGCGTGTCTCTGTGTCCAGTAAAACCGTATTCGATCCCTGTGGTGGCGTCGTGAAAACAAGAGCGTGGGATACCTCGTATACGTGGTCAGGGTCCATCCTGCAGTTATTGACTCTGTTCCTATGAATAATTGCTGCTTAAACGACCTTGATTATCCTGATTACTGATGCAGCACATGAACCCTGACGAAAGAGCAATAAAAACAGGGCAATCGTCCATAATCGTTATGGTTATTATTTCATGCCACATGAATAGGTATAAGAGGAGTATGTGACGCAGGAGATCGGAAAAAATATTATGGGGCATTTTGCCAGGCAATGACGGCAATCGTGGCACTCATGTCACCACTTCAAAGTCCAAAAGTAGTCCAAGGAATATCGCATGGTACCCCATCAAGTGAGGATGATGGGAAACGAAGTAACATCGTTTGATGGAAAGGGAATCCGGGGAATTTGTATGTGTAATGGGAGACAGGTTTTTTCGCGATCCAGGGGTTCTGCACTGACAAGAAAAACGATTTGGTAAACCAAACAAGCGGATTCTCACACACCATTACTCACATATTGATTAATCATTATAATCACTATATTGAATATTGCAATGAAGTCAGAAAAGCTGAACTAAAATCCAAGTGAAGCTCCAAAGGCTTAAGATGGAGAATCCAGACAAGAGGCCTTAAAATTCAGAAGGCCGCCGGAACCAGGAAAATGTCACAGGGTCCAGGAAGAAGTGAACCACAAGATCTTCAAGCCTCGAAACTAATGTATTCCATCCCGGTGTCTAGGAAATACAATTTAGTCACATGGCCAAATCCACGCACATCATTATGCATATAATACTAAAAACTTGTCACTGCTAGACAGCAGGTTGGGCATGTGAGGACTGCCCACATCATAATATTATGCTTAGGACTGAGTATATAAGTGGTCGGCTAGGCCAAACACAGATTTATACTAGTACATTCAGGTCTAACAAATATCGCTCTCTGATAAGGGTCACACTTAAGGAAAAAAAGAGAACATAGACGGACACTGCGATTCGAGGCAAGTTCCGGAAGAGAAGGGCGTGTCATGCGCTTCGACCTTCGCGTTCACTACCCCAATCATTTTGCCTATCCGTCTATGACATAAAAAAACAGGGAACAGCAAATGAACATCACAAAGAATGGCTGACAAAAGTGGCTAAGTTATTCAGACACACTTGGGGATCGTGAACTAAGGCCTTGCTATTGAAAGGTCACTCCCCCAGGGGTAGAAAAAAAATTCATTAAATCAACTCTAACGAAAAGATAACTACATGGAATATCATCTGCAAATATTTTGTGCTAATACAGTATCAAGCAAGAATGGAGGCCTTTAATATATCAACTGAAGAGATTCACATCTTTCATGTCGTGCTTTTTACTGCTCTTCTACAGAGAAGATAAGGCTGATGTATTTATCCCATCTGAAAGTTCATTTAACTAATGAATGTACCGGTCGAATTGGAGCATTGAAGAATCGTGACTTGACCCACGAGAGTAGAATTTCCATGCCTTCGTAGAGGCTGAGAAGAGAGAATCCCAAGTAAAGCCCGATCATCCCTCCAACGTTGGAGAGAAACTGAGATAGCGATGTCAGTTCCTGCTCTTCCACTATTTCAAGCTGAAACGCAATGGAATATATGGATTATTTCATTCTGGAGTGCGTATGCGACTGTAAAAGCCATTCATGCATGCTGGAGAGGAATGTATTCTTTGGGAAGTTGTATTGACCGAATACCAATAAACTCCTTTTCAAACTGTCATTTTCAGCGACTCACTTCGGCTGCTGGGAAGTTCAACTTGATCCCGCCTAGATACTCTTCAGCAGGAAGGGCTGCCTCCTGGAATGGGATCACGTTGTACGTCGTCCTCTTGCATTTCCTCAAACATCCAGGATCGTAAGACTTCAGCGCAACACCATAACGGTAGAAGAATCGAAATATTTCAAATGGGGTGCACTGGTCCTTCGTGTATATCTGGTCAGGAATGTTTGGTACCACTGACGGTATGGAACACGTAAGGTTCTTGAACACCTTCTCCGTTAGTGCAGTTACCAAACACTGTAAATGATTAATAAATATATCCTGGATCACTTTTTTTAGAAATGCAGAAGACTTGGATAGTGAATAGAGTGAGGCTCAAATTACCTTCTGGTAGCCGTAATCCTCGTCTCCATTGCATTGACTTCCTGAGGGCAGGAAATTGTAGTTCTTCACTGATAGGCTCAGCATATAACTGCTTCCCTTCGTGAGGAAAAATGTCTGTCCTGAAGATGTCACGTTTTTCATTTCTGTGAACGGCTCTTCTTGCGAGTCTATGCGGATCTCGTAATAGCCGCTGTTGTTATAGTCATGGAAATTCAAGCGAAGCTCAAATATAGGGAACAGAGTGGGAATCTTTATAGGGAGCGTGGTATCCGCATGGAAAGTGTAGCAAACTTTCAGAGGCCAAGATTCAGCAGTAGTCAGGAACCTGGTTTCCCTCCAATATCCCGCTGAGAAATGATGTGATATATTTGTTCTTAGTGTATCATCGAGATGAGAGAGAGAGAGAGAGACACGGTGATTAACGGGCGTACCAGCCGTTGTAAACACTTGAGTGTCATTTATCCAGGTCCAGAATCCTCGAACACAGTCACTTGCAAGGTTCGGCTCGGAAAATAAAAGGCAGTCGTTCACGATGTTATGAAAGTCCTTGAAAGTGAACAAGTCCAGCCCTTTCCATAAGCTCATATTAAGCTTTTTCGGGAACTGAAAGGCGTAAGGCATTGTTTCCTTGGTCAGATTGTGGAGTTCCAGTGCTGTGTAATTCAACGCATCAGAGGGACACAACGTGATTTCCGGAAACTCCACACTGGCTCGGGACTCGATCCGTATATTCAGGATCGTTGGGTTGCTATTGAAGTATTCGACCAACTCCTTCCCCTGTGAAACACCCCCACATTTTATAACAGGATTTTTTGTTTTACTTTCTCCTGATTAAAGAGATTTGGACGTCAAAAACCTGAAAAATTGTGAGTGAGACTGCTGTACATAATATGAGGATCCAGAGTAATTTCATGATCGCTGACCTTCGTGGCAAACCAATGTGGCTCATTGGAGAAGCCGTTTTCCCTGTAAGATCACGAAAGATGTATTCCAATTCAAGTGGTCAGGTGATTGTTCCGCAGCAGATTCTGTTTCAGGTTTTTATTTAAAAGTCATTTACTCTGCTCTGCAAGAGTTATTAGGAAAAGAAAGTAAGTTCGGAGTTGTTCCTGTAAAGGTATTTCAGATATGAGACCTGAAAATTGTCCCCCAAGAGAACAAGTCCTCTTTGCGGTTAAAACTATTCATTGGATCAACATTAAGTTTGCAAACGGTTTTGGACTAAAATTAATGCTGAGTCATTGCAGAACCAGATTAATACATGCATTACTTTTCTTTTTCAAAATAGGTTCCCCGTTTAAAAAAAAAAACCATGAATCTGGTGTTCACACGCAAATGTTGAGCAACTTTGAACTTGCATGCTTTCTTTTGAGGCATACTTGTGTCAGTAGCGCGACTAAAGGTCCTAAAATGTTATCACCCAGAATTCCTCAAGTATGGGTTCACTCATTTCTGGCTCATCCTTTGATGAAATTCTTATATTCCATGAATCCAATTACACAATGAAACTAACATGCTTATGTGTGGGAGTGCAGGAAGCAGAGAAAGGGCGTTTACGGTTAAGGATTGGGTGGAAGGAACCATATACGCTTAACCCATGTGTTTTCAGTATTTTAAATTACTTCAAATTACTTAGATTATAAAATACCCCACATTTCTCTGAAATGTTTCTTGATGAATGCAATGTTTGTTCGCTTCATTTAAGAGAGAAAAGCAAAGTAAGTGTTGTGATAGTGGCACTATCTTGGGTTTGGGACATTAATAACATTCCGGAATTATATTTAAAGCTGCGATAATTAAGCATTAACAATTTGGTATGGCTCTCAAAAGCCATAAAGCGCCCCGAAAAAGCATGAATCCAAATGCTACGCACCTCTCCCAGGAACCATGTCGGATCCGTTTTGCGGCTTCAAGACGTTCCAAGTAACTCCTGGTTCCAACTTCTCCGTGCCAGACAGAGCAATACTGCAAAACGCGTCCATACGAATTGAAGCAAGAGAGATTTGCCATTGCACAAGCGTCTCGAGCATAAAGCGAGTAATTCCATTCAGACCTCTTTGCAACCCCGACAGATTGTTTCAATGACTCTATTTCTCTCCTCCACTGCACGAAGTTTCGCTCTAGAGTGTGCAGCCTCTCGACCAGAGCATCCTTCTCATCCGGTTTCCCATGGAAAACTTCGTCCATCGTCAGCGTTGCGTCACCTTTGGAATAGGTCGGGATTTCCCCTCGGTAGGTCCTTTCAGAGGGAAAGTATTCCCGTTTCGTAGCGATTGGGGACAATAACTAATTGTAACCTTATTCTTTATGTATCTCACTAACTTCAACAATATGGCGTTAGATGTGTCACAATCGCTTCCATCAAATCGAGCCATCCACATGCAGATAACTTACGAATCAACCAATCTGTTATAGTGTAAACTGACATCTCGTCTCTTTCAAGATAAGCTGTATTTTAGTGAAACATGGTCATGCACTTGTGGAAGACCTACGCTTCTTTCATGAGGTGTACATATTATTCTTCCTAGATTTCAAAGAAGCGGTTTTCATCTTGGAATGAAGAAATTCCTCGCGGAAAAGAAATGGAGACAGTTTCGAATGCTTGAAATGTGAGACGATGACGTGAACTCACCCGGACAGTCGCGTGTCAATCCAATTTGAAAGCCACCGACGACGGCGATTCTTTTCTAAACTCATCACTTCGAACCTTCCAGCGTGACTCTCTTATTGGACGACGATCCTACCACGATTAAGTGTGTCGTATGACCTGTCCAGCCAATGCACTCGTCTCTGGGCAACCTGCGGTGTGTTGAACTCCGCGTGCGCGTGTGCGATAGGCTGGGTCTTCGCTTAGACCTCTGCTTGGTTAGCCAACTCTTCCTTGTCAATAATAAAAAAATTATATCAATATTAAAATGTCATCAAAATATTCATATATCTACGACCATTTTAGCAAAAACCATTACATTTTAAGTATACATTCATAAATGCCTTCATGATGCTACGAATTTATATTGCAACTGGAACTTTTTCGGATTTGAAGACTCACGGACCATGAAGTGCGGACGGTAGTCGACTAATAATTCTGCTACCTACGCTTTGACGTGGGAGGCCTTCTTTCTCAAGCCTTTTTAGGCGAATAAACTGGGTAAACAGACACGGGAAGATGCATGCCATAACGTCTTCTGATCTTAAGAATAAAGAGTATGTAGCGTCTGAGTCGCCTACATACTGATGACACCGACGTGATCGTGCACTCAAGAACCTCATGCTCACAATTAATGACGGAACAGACGAAATAAAAAGAGATATAACTAGAAACAGCGTTCGTAGAAGTAACAAAAACATAATTATTCGGGCCAGCACCTTTTGGTAATGTGACCGTTTTTGTTCCCATGATCTGTGGAAGTGAAAGCGTATTTCTTGGAATCTCTTATTTCTATGAGAAACATAAAAAAAACTTCTGATGCCGATTTGTTAAAACTCGCTGCCATGCGCATGCATACCACTGCGTCGACGTATTTGAGAGCTCTTACAGCGCTCGTTGAGAGTGGCTATTATGAACGCTTCAGACCCGCGCTTAAATTTCGGTTCGGCCCCGGTACGGATCGTCCACGTTTGAAGAACTCCTTCCTATCGATAACATTAACGTAACGTGAGGGTGTCCGGGAATGTGTTCAAATGGTGCAATGCTTGTTGATTAAAATCTGTCATTGAGGGGGGTCTGAGGTACCCACGGAGCGTCAAGATCATTATGCGGGATGATATAGGGAAAGTCTCATCTATGCACAGGTTAGCATTGGATAACTCCTGAAAAGTACCCAAAAACATTACTTGCAATTTGGAAAATCTTCAAGAGAATACCTGGACACAGGTGTCTCTCTGTACCCTGTAAAACCGTGTTCGATCCATGTGGTGGTGCCATGATAACAAGAGCGTGGCACATATATCGATGCCGATTCTGCAGTTGTTTACTCACTTCCTATGAATAATTGCTACTCAAGCGACCCTGAATATCCTGTGAGCAATTAGCCGGCACATGAACCCTGAGAAGGTAGTAAAAGCGATGCAGTCGTCCATAATTGTTGTGATCATTATTTCATGTTTCAATAAAAGGTTTATGCAGAGGATATAACGCAGGAAATCAACAAATGAAATCCTAGAGGGCATGCTGCGCGCCAAAGAGGGCATGGTAGTGTTCATGTCATGGCCTTAAAGTCCAAATAGAGTCAATGGGGTAATGCAGGGGAACTCAGAATGATACTGATCAGAAAGAAAGTCACTTCATTTGACGAAAGGTAATGCGGGGCACTTGGATGTGTAATGGGTGGCCTAAGACAATCGGTTCAGTACACAAAACAAGTGAATTCTCACAAACGCAGACACAATTAACCATGTATTAATTAATTATTAGGGTCACTATGATGAGCATTACAATGAACTAAGGTTCGAAATGAGGTTGAAGTGAAGATCCAAAGAGTCGAGACCCAGAAGCCAGAGAAGAGGCCTCAAAATCCAGGAATAGGCACATTGTCCACTAGAATGCCGCAAGAACCAGGAATATGTCACAGGGTCAACAATAGGCCACAAGGTCCAAGAATGGGGTGGGCCAAAAGATCTTCAAAGTTCAGAACAAATGTATTTCTACACAATGTCTAGTAATAACATTTCAACCCCATGGATAAATCGACGCACATCATTATGCATGCAATACTAAAAAGAACTATCACTGCCAGACGGCAGGTTCGGCACGTGAGGCACGTTGCATCTACCGTGTATTGTGTATGGGTAAGGACGAACAGTGAACCATGAATACGAGAGACTTTCGTGTTTTTGTCTTCAATGAGTTCAAGCTGCGTCATAACGCAACGGCCGCAACTCAGAATATCAGGAAAAATTTGGTGACGACACAGCTAATGAAAGAAAGACACAACGTTGGTTTGCAAAATTCCGGTCCGGCGATATGAGCCTCGAAAATGAACCTCACGGCAGACCGGAAGCAGCTGTTGATGATGAAAAGTTGGTAGTCTTACTTGAATCCGATACACTGCAAACCATACGAGAGCTTAGCGAGAAACTCGGAGTACACTACTCAAACATTTCCTGACATTTAGCGGCCATAGGTAAAGTGATAAAGCTGGATAAATGGGTCCCGACATGAGCTGACGGAACAGCACAAAACGCGACGATCTGCTCTTCTCTACTTACCCGCAACCAAAAGAACCAATTTTTGGGGCGCATTGTCACGTGTGATGAAAAATGGATCCTCTATGACAATCGCCAACGTTCGGCACACTGGCTTGACCACGGCGAGGCACCGCAGCACATCCCAAAGCCAGTTCTCCATCTCAAACAGGTGATGGTTTGTGTTTGCTGGTCGGCAGCTGGAGTGATTCACTTCGTCTTCCTACAACCGGGCGAAACCATCACGGCAGAAAGGCATTGTCGTGAACTTGACAACATGCATCAAAAACTGTCCACCAAACAGCCGGCACCAGTCAACCGACATGGGCCCATACTTCTCCACGATGACGCCAGACATAACGTCGCACGGGTGACGATCCAGAAGTTGCACCAGTTGGGGTATGAAACCCTACCTTATCCGCCTTTTTCACCTGATCTGTCCCCTACGGACCATCACTTCTTCAAGCACCTGGACACCTTTCTAAAGGGGAAAAATATTCGTACTCAAACAACAGTTGAAACCGTCTTCCAGGAGTGCGTCGAGTCCCGGAGCCCCGAATTTTTCCACGACGGCAAACACAAGCTAGTCTCACGTTTGCATAAGTGTGTTGCTGCTGTTGGCGCTCATTTTGATAAAATAAGTGTATTTTGCACAGTGTCTCGGTTGTTTGAAGTTTCCGTCCAAATGAACAAAATATATTTATTAGTTCTCGAAATTGGTGTTGGGAAGGAGGTGGAGGTGTTGAGAAGATTTCTTCTTTTCCTCTCAATAATTATCTGAGCCATTTATTGCTCCGTTACACAGTTTACAGCTGGAGCATCACACCTTTTCTTGCACCTCATCTACGGTCACCTATGTGAATAATAGCGCCATCTTGAGGGAGTGAAAGGGAAAACCTCTTTGATTCATGAACCTCTCTGTCAAGTATGAACAGGATCCAGCGTTCCTTCGAAAAGTTAAATTTGAAAAGTTCATTGCATTATGAAACGGTCGAGCACAGGTCGAGCATCGACCCACTGCAGTTCGAATGATCCACCTCGAAGCACCTTTAATTCACCTTTAAGTGAGCAAATCACGATATA